TTCGAACCGGTGTCAACCACGAAGAAGTCACCTCACTGCCACATGCTACATGAACTGTCTAGGGGTGTGGTCTGTTCCTTATCGTTCGGTTGAGATTATGATTGAGAAGAAAGGTTGATTTTGATGGCAGGCGGTACCAATGCGACATAACTGGGTTTTGGGGGTGTGGACTTCAATGCGATGTTCAGACGCAGCCCTTTTCAAGCCCTTTGAGGTCCCACAAGCAGGTCGCTGTTGACTGGGACTGACATCTCGCCCTTCGTGCCCTTGACCATTTTCATGCAGTCAGGAGAAGGATGATGGTGTGATCGACTGGTGCGTGTATGGGTTGACGCAGCCAAGAGTAAATCACCCACGACTCCCATCTTTGCAACGCGACGCCGCAGCTGTCGCAGAGTACGCAGCCATGCACAGACCTTCATATTTTCACTTCCTGTCAATCATCTTGATCCAAGACTGCGGAGAAGTAGTGCTTAAGCGCTTCCTCTGCTGCGGCGGGGAGTGTAGACCGGTGTGACTGTGAAGAGGTTGTCGCTAGCCTGCTTTCGGCGGCACCCAACAACAGTCGGAATTGCAGTTCTGTATTCGTGATACGGGCAATATTCTCGAAGCCTGAAGTGTACTTGTCCCTCTGCTTGTCCGAAAGGTTGCTCAAATCTTGTTGCAGCTCGCGTCCGAAATAACGCGAGCTCTTCCAATTCCGGAGCTCGTCAAGCATTATTTGAAAAAAACGAAACGACACCACTGTCGTGAATCTCGCGAGTTGTTCCTCAAGCTCCTCATCCGTACCTTGGAATCTCGCGAGTTGATGCAAAAGCTGCTCGTCATCCGTAGCTTGCACTTGCCATGTGTAGTCTTCAGGGACTCTCAACAAGGTGTCGCGGTCCATGCGGTCCTTTACGTTTGGCCACAGTCGCCAGGCAATGGCATCAAGGAGGAGCCCTTTGGGACGGTCATATTTGCAATACCTCTTTATCGCAATTAGAGCATTTTTCGCAGCAGGGAATTCATCCAAGCAAGCATTGATCTTCTTTGAATTGCTGTAGAAATTCGACCCTCCGCGAAGTGCGGGAAACTCTTCTGGCCGCTCCCTCCACAGAACAAGATCGACGTTCATCACACCTACTACTGCATCCAAGGAAAACTTGATAGCAATACTCCCGATGGTCAAGTTTGTGATGAAGGGCTGCTGCTCAAGCTTCTGTGCGACGCGTAACTTGTCAGTCTCCGTGAAAGGCTCATAAGCTCGAGCCGTGCCCGGTCGCCTCGAGACCTGAAAGTCCAAATCACCGTAGCCATCCAAGCAAGACGTCCCACGCACTTGAGATCCCACAAGTTCGAGAACAATGTCGCCGCCGAGAGCATCCGAGCACCAGAGCTCCAAAACCTCCAGGAACCATCGAAAAAGTCCAGCGGTCGTACCCAGAGGGGGAATCAAGGCAACAAAGTCTGTCAGAATGTCCGCGGAGAAATTCCGCAGCGTTTCATCTCTCAGCTTCGGAGACTTCTTCCAATTCCGGGAACATTTCGCACGCAGAATCGCTACCTTCGACCAAGAAGCCATCCATTGCTCTTGACTTGGCCGCGGAGGAGGTACGAGACCTCGAAGGCGCAAGACTTTTTCTTTCCAATCAGGAGCTGTTAGCAAGTAAATGAAGGACCAAGAGGTGGTAGCCGGTACACACAGAAGCGCCAATCCAGCGCCAGCCAAATGTGTCCGCTTCTTCACAGGCATCGCTCGATTCACAACCCAATCCCAATCTGTAAGGTTTCGGACTTCCGAGTCTGGCAACGCTTCGGACTGCGCAGCACGAACCGAAACCCCACACCGCGATTCTCAAACCCTCGATCAACCAGGTTGAAAACACTGTCGCGAACGTTCGGCACCCAGAGCCTCCCCAGAATGCAGCCCCCATCCCCGTCCATCAGCATCGTCCCGCCGCGAAAGTTCAAGTTCGACGTTAACGCAGAGCCTCCCAGCATCCCCGTCCACGGCAGCGCCCCGTGCCTTCCAGCGTCCCCGGTACCCCGTCCAACGACTCCGACCCAGTCCACACGATG